CACCTGGTGCAGCTCAGCTCTTTCTATTTAAACAATAAAATCTGTTTCAAGCCATTAATCATGAGTAGGTGTCTATAATGAGGCCATGAAACCCAACATCCCTGCCTCATTTGCAAAGATGTGATGACTTTCAATTAGGGCTTTGCCCTGGTGACCCCTTAGCTGGAGTTTCATATTCCTACTACTGTGTGCAACACAGCACTAGCAAGCTTGATGCTTTCTACCCCAAAGCTCACTGCATTTCAGAAGTGAAGTAGCATTATGCCAAAATCATTTTAAAGTATTTCTGGAGCCCTCACAACACGTTATATTAATGTAAGAGATTAGGGGGATTTATTGTAGTAGTAGCTAGCACTGATGGTACTCGGCATTTAAAAAATATCAAACGCACACATGCCAACAGGCTTTTAACTCTTAACACCACTGCCAGCAGTGCTAAAAAAGAACAAAGCAGTTTGTATCTGCCAGTGGTTTTGCTGCTAGTTATGGAAACCAGAACAAGTTGAATAAACCATGGTATCAATGGCTCAGAGTTAGAATACTTTAGGGCATCTAAAACCAACCGCATCCTTTTGTGAGTTTCCGTGCAAGTCACTGGTGGAGTCTCCCTGAGCTGCACATTGGGTTTGTCCCTCAAAGCCCCACCAGGTAACAAGAGACCATGTGGATCGGGGGGGGGGAAGGGGGAAGCATTCAACATTTGGAGCACGACCTCAAGGAAAGGGAAATGGCTTTGTGAGATTGCCTGACCAAACTGGATTGCAGTTACCTGAGTTATAAAGGTATTACAATGTGGAACAACCCAAGTATTACACTCATTTATCACAATTTCAAAAGTGATACAGTTGTCCTGTTTTTCCATCACAATCTGTTCTGGCTCCCAGCACTTTCCATCTGCAGTTACCAGACTAATACACACAGTACAGGTGTTCACAACAGTCTTTCACACTGAACTTTACACCACCTCCAAATCGGAGGTACCTAGTGTCCCTGCTGTGGCTGGGAAGAAAGAGGGGCTTCTATTAGAAAAAGCATATAGATGTTCCTGACTAGCAAGCATCATCAGTCCTATGTGTCTGCCATCTCAATTTTAAGACCCTTAGAGCAGAAGTCAGAGAGAGAACAAGTGCCAAAGAGAAAGTGAGACCTTAGTGAGCAATTTTGCTACCTAAATCTCCAGCAAACTGGCACAAGACTTGCTTGGCATGCAAGGCATTCAAGGCACCATAAGCCCTTCCTGCTCTGAAGAGATTTTACAAAAAGAAGTACTGGGTTCCTCTCACTTTAGCCTCTCTAGAATAATTGTGCTACATCACCATCAGGCAGAGAGCTGCCGCCTTACACACAGCTCTTCTTTCACATCCAGAAAAGGCAGATGTGAGACCCCACCCCATGAGATCACTCATGCCCTATGTTGTCTGCCTTGGCCCTTCTGGAGCAACTCTTCTGTTGCTGTTTTCTCACTGCCTTGACCCTGTTTTCTGCAACCGCTTCTGCTGGAAAACATGTTGGGAGCTTCTCAGATCAGATATACCACAAAGAAAGTCTACTGCCTCTAATGTATTAAGTATAAGGCAGCCCAGTCATCTGGAGAGTACACATAAGCCTATGAATTCATTTCACAAAAGGCTATTTTGCCCTTTGACTTGAGAAGGGACCCAAACATCTTCGGAGACATGGGAATAATCACTTGCATAGAAGAGCTAAAACTACATTGGCAGTTAATGGTAAACCCTATCTTTCTCACTGTGCAGCATCTTTCAATTCCTTAAAGGACGTGCAGGCAGGAGCCAAACATGTTGAGAGGGAGAATACAGCAAAAACACAAATTAACACTGAAGTCAGGTTTAACAAATTAGCAAGTGAAGGAAGACGCCAATAACTGGCTAAGACATTTCCTGTTTCATGGTGAGGAACTATAGCAAGGTCAAAATAGCTAACAGAATAAATAGGAAGGATTACGAGTATGCTTTGGCAGAACGGCTTTGGCAAGGATCACATGGTGTTGATAGACTGAGGTGGCTCATCGTCAAATCCCTGGCATTTGCTCACCCCAGGGAATCTCCCACTCTTTGCTCATGAGAATATGGAAAGAAAAAGGTCTCTTCCCAGTATTTCTGATCTGAACACTGAATAAACCCCGTAACAGTCAGCAAAGCTGCACCATGAATTCTTGCGAATATATCTGCCTAGACAGATCTGTATATTCAAACTATGGTTCCTGGAGATCTTTAGGGCTGAAGATGTACAGTGATATTAACAGTCTACCCTTAAAACAATCCCATGTCTATCATTTTCAAGGGTCTACAAATCTCCTCAGCATGTAATAATGTTAACATTAATGCTTATAAGTAAAAAAGGAGAAAGCACTGAAATGACAGACTGAGAATGGTAATAAACAGACATTAGTGATTAACAAGGTAATAAAGCCTTCAATAGGATTAGGAAAATAAAAAGATAGAGCAAAATCTCTTTCAGCTGATTACTTAGCTACTTTTAAGGATACTAAAAATACAAAAATAAAAAAAAAATAATAAAAAAAAAATCATCTAACACATGAACAGGGTGCCAGAACAGTCAGGGAGCAGCACAGCAAGTTAGACACAGGCTCAAGAGTAGCAAGCTGAATAGGTTCAAGTGAATTGGAAGCAACTCAGAGCAGCTGGAAATTCCCCTTCAGATAGAGCTATGTCAAAACCATGCCTGCCTGATTAATAGGAGATTCTGAGATACCACAGAAGAGTATGAGCAGCCATATGAGAATCTGGCCAAAGGCTAGTATCTGGGAAGGAAAGCTTCATCAGAAGAAAAGTTTGATCCTCCAAACTGTAAAAATAAATATTCCCAGTAAAGAAATATCAGTCTCCTGAAACTATTGAAATAACTCAAAGGAGAGAATGACCAGTCCCAAATGTAGTATCTGTGTGTGGATACACAAGTTAAATGTCAGCATTAAATATTTCAATGTGGTACACTTCAAAAAACAGGGCTAGAAAGGAAGGTGGATTTTGTGTAGAAAATATTTATGGAGAGAAGAGAGAAGGGGAATTAAGTGAACACACATGTAAAAATAAAAGGTACAGCTGGAAGGAAAAAAAAAAAAAGAGAGACTGCAGCAGCCAAAAGGCAAGCTTGACCCCCCACCCCATGCTGAACAGCTAACACAGAATGAAAACAACAAATTCTGTTACCCCACAAAAGCCAGACCCTGGCCTTGATCTCGGCCATCTACCATTACCTCTCATGTACTTACCACGTGGGGCAGCTACTGATGGAGGGGAAACCACAGTCCAACACACAGACCTGAGCTCACTGACTAATTGGAAGTGAAGGCAAAAGTCCTCCTTGTGCAGTAAATTGCAGCGCGCTGACTAAACACCCTCACTGAGACCACACAGTCCCTCACCACAGTGACATCTCCTGCAGTTCACTAGGGCCTATTATTGCTTTGCTTTGACGTTCTCCCTATGTTGAAAGAAAGCATGAAGGGAGAAAAGAAAAAAAGAGAAATCTGTCTGTCTTTCAACTTCCTAATCATCTTCCTCAAAATGCTCCATGCATCAGCACTGACTTCATTATCTGTCTGCTGCTAGAGATTTTATTTAAAGAATAACACACAAGGAAGAAAGGATTTAACCTGACCTCCCTGAACTGCTGGGGGATGAATACTACACGGAGCTGGCAGTGAAAAGCTCGTTTCCTTTCTCAGACTAACCTAAACACTATGCAAAATTCCCCTCTATCCCAGCCTCCAGTTTTAAATTGGGCTATCAAAGGCTTTTCTTTTTTAGGGGCCTGGGTTGATGCAATCAGTGTATCATCAATGAATGAGGATTGATATCATGAACCATCACAAAGCATAGCTGTGGGTACAGTGACTCTCAGAGGCAGAACAATACAGAAAAATTGCGTAAACTAAAACCAGTGTTCTTCTAGCCAGCTGTATCAAGATGAGAATAAAAAGCAGTAGGGTCCATATTTTTTTCCCCACTGCACCAGTACAGCATTCAACCTGAGACTTTGGGGTGTTACATATTACAGATTAAGTAGGATAATAAATGAAAAGGTTAGTGGGAAGCATGGCAGGGTATCATCAAGTAAAGAGTAAAAATATCACGGACGGAAAGAGAAATGAATTGCAGAGCAAGATACAGTCAGGACCTTTTAACAGGCACAAGCATGGGATCCCGTCCAGTGGAAGGAGGTCTGTCCTAGACTGCATACAGAATTTCTTCTCTGGAAGGTCCAGAGGTGCTGACGCAGCTGTGTCTGGGATGATCCCCCCAGTTTGCATGGCAGCTCTGTATTTTGTGCACCACAGGCTCCTGCAGAGTCGTTCACCTCTCCAAGAGTGATTAACATATAATCCCAACATTTTATTTTGGGAAATAGGCCATCTCTTCCCTTCCTGAGACCACACACAGTAGCCTATTTTCAAAAAGCCACATTTACACATTTATGCAATACAAGCAGGACACGAAGAGAGCAAACCAGGCCAAATTAAGGAAGGGAAACCTAACCTTACCACCCTCTTTATTAAAAACCTTCTCTTTTCAAAATGTAAAACAACTGAATTCAATTACCCTAGAAAATTTCTACTAACTGTTGCCTGAGTTCTAATTCCCCGATATCACAGAAAATGAAGCTATGCCCAGCAGTTCTCCGATAACTAAATTTGCTGCCGAAAACCTCCTGCCCCATTCTAAATGCCAGCATCCTCACAGTCTCCAACCACACTTGCTGACAATGCTGCATATTTTCATCATTCATACCCATCTTTCTGCATTTGCTGGACCAAGAGGTCTGCATGTGATGGTAAAATTGGTTAAAGCAAGCCTTGTTTCTCTTCCTCTCGTCCACATCTGAACAAGGAACACGAGAGTCCCGCCTTCAGCCCTCATATTGCTGCAACGTTATCAGTCCCAGTGAGCACAAGGTACTCCTAAACGCCTATATTCCAGAGGTCAACATGAAAAAAGGTCATCGCATGCCTGGCTTACCTGATCCTCGGAGAGTTGTGATATGTGATTCACTGCAGCGTAAGACTCTATCTTCGGGTTGAAGTGATTGATGATGGCTCTGAAACAAAGAAGGGAAATTTTCAGAGGTCTCAGGGATAGCTTAGGAACGCAGCAGAAATTCCCCACCAGCCTGAGTCAGTGCACATGGAGCCACAGTCCTGCAAGAAGTAGTTCCTCCCTCACCGCACTGTATTGCACGCTCTGCCAAAGGCACGCTCCCTGCTGAGAGGCCAATGCAGATTCAGTCACAAGCTCATTGGAAATTGTGAGCACAGGCACTGCCCTACGCATGGGTGCATTTGTCCCAGCAGATACGGGGCTCTGCCAGAGGGAATCGCTGCCTTGCTGGGAGCAGGCTGCAAGTTGCTCAGTGTTCCAGCAGAGACACAGCAATCCCGGCCATCGCTGCCCCATTCTTGCTCAAGAACTCTATCTCCTCATCCCTTCCAAAATTGGTGTCACCTGACATTTTGCTCTATGGAACTTTGTTGCCTGATGTGTTGAAGCTGATGGTTTATTGCTTTGGATCTCCACTGTGTTTAAAACATTGTAGTTAGCTCTTACTTGTAGTCATCCATCACTGCAGCCACTACTTTGACTTCTTCCTATAATGACTTTAGTCCTCAGCCCCAATCTAGATCGTTAGAGATAAGTTATGCCAGTGTCCCAAACATGGCAGCAGAAACACTGATCACTCCTACTTCTCTGCCTCATTGCCTGCACCAACATACTCCCCTTCCCTTCTAGGTGGATCTAGAAGCAGGTGTGAGAAATCTAAAATTGAAAGTAAAATAATAATTGGGAGGGAGAGGGGAAATCAAACTGCAGCTGGAATATTTCCTCAGCCTCTCCTCTGCTTGTCAGGTGCAGCTGAGAAGACAAATGGCAAGCCAGTAAAGTCTCCCCAGGCTAGGGTTTGCAACTGGTCTAGTTGGGATATTACTCATGAGACGCACTGCCGAGGTAAACGCTCATGATGGGAACAGCCTATGTCAAGTGCTCAGCACAGATGTGCGCTGATGGTGCCTGGAGAACACTTGCTTGGCCAAATTACACCGCAGCAGCAGTCAGGGCTTTCACTCTCATATTCATCAGCGTGCAAATTCATTCCAGCTCCCTCTGCTACACTCTAATGGGTTCCCTCCTCCCCCCACCTCCCCCTGCAGAAGGGTTTTCGGTTACTTTCTCCAGACCTCATCACAGTTAAGAGCTTGTGCCCGAGTCCAGGAATAAGAGATATTCAGCGGTGCCAATCAGAGCTGGTGGAAAGAAAACCTGCCTGGAAGCATTCTTTTTTCTTTAAATACATAGATAAAGAAAAACGGTGTGGAGGGGGTGGGGAGTGGGAGAAGAGTTAAAAAAAAAAAGAAAAAAGAAAAAAACAAACACAAACCCAAACAATCTGCAACATTCCCAGCCACACACTTCATCAACACACCAAATGCGGTCCACGCGCAGGGGCAGTCACTCCAGCGGCTGCTCCCACAGCATCAGTACGTACTTGGCACAGGGGAGATTGTGCAGTCTCGCCAGCCTTGACAGTTACATCAGTAAAGTGAATTCAGCAGGGCCCCTGCCAGGCTTCCCGTACCCTTCCTCCCTCCGGAGGAGGGCAAGCAGGCAGGCAGAGACATGCCCAGACTCTTCCCATTTCAATTCAACCAGAGAAGCAGCTCCTGTGAGTCACAATCACACTCTCCATTACCCAGCCTCTCGAACACTGTGGCTTTCAAGTTGCATGTTTCATGCCTGGCTGGAGTCATATTTACACTCCTTCAGGACACCCTACGAGCTATTGAAAGAAGAGGGAACACAGACTTACAACAACTTAACTTCTGGCTTGACAGAAGGTTTGGCAGCTCAGAGGGGTTCAGTGCACTCACACGGTTCCAACATTTACCAGGGAACAGATTTAGCATTCATTTGTATCCACTGCTGTGAAGCACTTCAACATGGGCCGCCTGCTCACAAGTCCCTGCTTGGATCTGAGCTACTGGAGCGGCACCTGCAATCACAGCTGGGATTCACCCAGGGAAAGCAAAACCAGCAACCAGCTGCCACTGCAGTAAGAATCAACAGACATTAAGGAAGAGAAATAATTCAAGTCTCCTTCCTCATTTCCCTAAAGGCGAATGGACAACTCCTCAGTGACTAGAGGAGGAAGTTCAGCTGTTTAATTTGTTTTAAGAGAGCTCTTTCACTATGAAGAATTTCTTCCCAACCTGATTTTCTGCAGAGCTGTTTTCCTGAACCTGCAAGCAGCCTGGGGCAGAGGAGCATGAAGAACTTGGATTCAATCCTGGGTCTATGTAGCCAGGTTCTTACTGCCCAGCGTATGCTACCAAGGCCAGGCTCTGCACATGGTACAGCTCTTCCTCAGGCATTTGCTACGAGAAATTCCATCGCTACCCAGCCCAAGCTGTTGTGCAACAGCAGTGCCTTTCTGCATCAACTATTCGGATATGTCTCCGCTATTCCTCCATCTCTCAAAATCCATCTTGTCCCTGGGGCATACTTTTAGGTAACTGGCCTCCTGGGCTACTGAGTAACAGCTGGAATTTCACTTTGCAAAGCTGCCACTCCACAGGCATTTGATCCTGGAGACAACAGGGGACTGGAGCTTTTAAGCACAGTCTTCCCCTTATGGACAATAGAACAGCAGCTTTGCCATCATTAGTTCACACACCAGCATGTAACAGCTGAGCCTTGGCAATGTTTTATTTTTACACTGCAATTGCCTTGATTATTGGGATATCAGCCAGTACTTTGGGGAGGGGGAAGGGAGCGGTTAAAGCACTTGGAAAAGATTTGTGATGTGCTGTGCTCTACAGAGATCTTCATATTGATCATGTAGAAAAAAAAAAAAAAAGAAAAGAAAACCCTTGTGTTTGGTATTCATGAAGCGCTAGCATCTTCAACCCATTTGTAAAGCAAGGAAATAGTGAAGTGTCAACTGAAAGACAAAACACTGCAGTTCCCCAACTAGCCTTCGATAGTGTGTACACTTACATATTTCCACACCGTAAGTCTCTCAGTGGGGCTGGCTGCCATTTGTCATATAAATTTCAGAGTGCTTTTGGGACACAATTCTCTAGGGACTAGATAGGTGTCTGGGGAGATGTCACTTCAGCAACACTGCCTCCTCCAACAGATCCCACAGTTCAGCAGTCAACTAGCAAGAGAGAAGACTGTCACTGCACAAGGGAAGGATGCTGAACAGGCAGAAGGTGAAACAATGGTTCAGGAAGAAAAAAACTGGCTCCCAGCAGCTTGTCTCAACATTGATGCTTAGTGCTACAAGGCAGACCACAAGCGACCTCCACATCCTTTATTCCTCGATCTCCCAGTGAGAATCATTTACACACTAGTTATGTCAGTGCTCTCAGAAAAAACTCGCATTCTCCCATCACTTCTTCATGCAACTCTTCAGAGAGCAAGCTACCTAGACACCATGATGCCAGAAGCCATACAAAGACACATATGAACTCGTATTTTCTTCAGCATGAACAACCTAGAACACTTGCATTTATTTATTTATGCATTTATTGCATATTTATTGCATTTATTTATTTATTTGGGAAGGAGGGAATGATTGCAGGAAAAATATAAAGTGTTGCACCCTGATTTAGGTACCTAAGTGCCAATGAATAATTTATTTGTACTACCTGTATTAATCACGTTATTAGACAGCAAAAGTGGGTCCCACTGTAACAAGTATTGTACAAAGACAGAGTGGTGGGAAGCCTCTGTCCCAGAAAGCTAAAAATCTCAAATGCAAGAGAACAGGGAAAGCTCAGAATCTGAAAAAAGTGTGTGGCAACAGTAACAGTGCTGTTACTGAGTGTCATAAAAGACTTCAGTTAGAGATAAAGCAAGGATAGAAAAACACAGGAAAAGAATACTGAAGGAAGCACAGAAATGGGGAAAAGGAGACAGAAGGGCAGACAGGATCAAGAAAAACAGAGGTGAAAAGACTGTAGGACAGAGATGATCAGTGTAGCAGCAACTGATGACAGGGCACTCTTGTCCTCTGCAAACAGGAAAGATCTGACTGGTGGAAAGTTTCTACTTTGGCTGTTCTTGAGGCTGCGACAATTGGCCAGTCCTGAAGTGGCTGTTACTAGTCCTTTCTCCCTCGAAAACACATGGGCTGGAAGGTGAGAAGCAGTGGAATCACCATGTGGACCCTATATTTTTTTTTTTCCCCAAATGGGGACATCTCCCACTGCCACTTTCACTTTGAGCTATGATGACAGAAGGTATACCTCCAGGTGAGTTGCAATCTCCCCCTCACCCTCTTCAACTGCAACAGGGCTTGCTTCCGCAGTGGCTGCAGTAGCTCGTGGCTGCAGTAGCTCCCCAGCCAGTGAGTAACAGTTAAAAAACTGTTTCTATAAAGCCTTTAAACACTGCCTAGGGTTACTCCTTGATAAACAGAAACAACCAGTGTTGCCCTTCAGAGAAGCTCAGGGTGAAACAACTTCTGAAGATGCAGAGTCTGCTGACAAGAGAGCACTCCTGCAAAAACTGATATGGTATGTACAGAAAGAAAAGATTTAATTGGTTCCTCAATTTAATTTGCCACTAGTTGTAACATCACATGTGAGAAGTTAAAAGCACCAGCAACACTAAGCTACTGGTCCCTTAATTCCTAGCATCTTCCAGTCCATATGCACCCACTGTGGCAAGGAACACCACCCTGCCTCCCTTAACCTCACAACAAGCTGGTCTGGGTCCAATGTGCAGGGAAAGCAAAATCACTATGCTCAGGCAGGCAGCACTTCTTCAGCACGTTTTCTCTGACCTCCAAACTCTCCCCATCAAGTTATTGCGGATGAGCTGTCTAATACCCACTCCCGCTTGACAGCAGCTACATTTCCAGAGTCCCATAAGACAACACTGTCCTCTTGTCCTGAACAATGAAATTAAGCACTCTGAAGGTGCTGAAAGTAGGCTAAGGGAAGAACAGAAAGGTTGCAAAGCTTATTGTAGAGATAGGAGTGCTGAGCCATCATTCACTGCATGAACCTGGTCTTTGCACCTACTTTACAGGTCCAG